GTCAGAGCTCCCACCTTGGCCTCCAACTCCACCTTGGTCATGTAGGCAGTGTCCACATCCTACAGGAAAGATCACATTTTCTCTTGGAATTCCTCCAGTCACAGCATCTGCTCAGTGCTGAGGGTAACAGCTCTGGTAGCATTACTCAGCCATACAAGAAAGGACGAGAAATTTCCAAGAGCAACCTACAATCTCCATTGGATTTCCCACCCAAGAAGAAATCTCCTCGAAGCTCTGGCAAAGCTTAGCATTCAAGCAATCACTTCACTGCGCCCGTGACTCACCTTCTTGAGCACCACAAACTCGTTCTCAGCTGTTGTGCGCCTGTTGATCTCTTCCTCATACCTATGGAAAGTTAAAATACAAGCTGAGTTTCCTGAATTTTCTTGCCTAAGGCCACACAAAAGCAAAAAGAAATGCAAAATAAGAACGAATACAATATTTAAACTGACAAATCTACACCCATAATTACCATAAAACAAACAAATGTGAAGCAAAATAACCAGTGAGGTACAGACTGCCATTGCATTGCTCTCAGTGTTATCATCTCTGCACTTACTTGTTTTTGTAATCCTCAACGTATTGCTGCATGTTCTGCAGCTCGGATTCCAGCTGTCCCCTCTGTGCCAGAATGGAGTCCAGCTGCCGCCTCAGGTTCTGGATGTAGTTTTCAAAGATGACATCCAGGTTCTTCCTGGGTCCTGAAGGCCCTTGCTGCTGCAGGAGCTCCCACTTGGTGGAGAGAACCTTGTTCTGCTGCTCCAGGAAGCGCACCTGAAAGCCAACAGGCGGAGGATGCACAGTCAGTCATGAAGGCACTCCTTCCACCAGGTACAAAGAGTGGTCCATTCTTTGTGTCATTATGTGATTTTGTTAGTTAAAAAAAAGAGAGAGGTTGCCGTTGAGTCAATTGCAGGATGAGGGAAAGGAGAGAATTTCCAAGTCAAGGGTGCAGCACCAACTCCAACACGTTCCCATAGCTGGTAGCTTAGAAACATTAGATTCCTAGTCCGAAATAAAAAAAGATTGGATATTTGAAAACCCAGAGGGGGAAAAATAAGAAAAGCAACCCTAAGTTTGTGAATAGTTAAATAGGAGCGTTTGGAAAGGGAAGAGTGCAGAAGTGAAACCTGAAGAAGTTTGGAGGCGTTTAGCCTTGCAGTAATAACCTATTAGGTGAACCTGGTGCAACAGGCTAGATTAAAGCCCTGAAGATACAGCTTTGATCTCATCTGGAAGGGAGATTCTCATCTTTTCCATAGCAGCACTTGAGAAAAGGCTCTTCTCCAGCTCCTTAGCCTGCCCATATTTGGCTCAAAAGGAAGTTTCTGTAGAGCTTGGCAGCTGTTCCTAATTTTTGCCCTTAATTAGCCCCAGTCCCACTCCCTCACCTTGTCAATGAAGGAGGCAAACTGATTGTTAAGAGTCTTGATCTGCTCCTTCTCCTGGTTCTTCACTTGCTGGATCTGGGGGTCGATCTCAACATGGACTGGCTGTAGCAGGGTTGTGTCAACCTGCACGGGCTGAATGCCAGGGCCACCTCTACCAGGGCCACCAAAGCCAAAGCTTGGGCCACCATAGCCACCCATTCCTCCACCTCCCATTCCTCCACCATAGCCACCCATCCCTCCACCGAAGCCGCCCATTCCACCACCACCACCCATTCCTCCACCAAAGCCCATTCCTCCTCCGTAGCTGCCTAGTCCTCCGTAGCCTCCACCAAAGCCACCCATTCTGCCTCCATAACCTCCACCGCTGTAGCATCCACCTATGGCAATCCTTCCGCTGCTCCCCATGTTATGGAGGCTCCTGCTGCCAAAGCCTCCACAACGTCCACCACCTCCATATCCCCTGGACATAGAGAACGAGCTGTAGCTGCTCCTGCTTCTGCCACCACCTCCTCCAAAGCCACCGCCGATGGCAGAGCAAGAGCTGTAGCCCCTTCTGCTCCCTCCCCCAAAGCTTCTGCAGACAGACTGCCGGGACATGGCTGCTTCTTCCAAGTGGAGTCAAGATCAAGAGGAGGAGGAGGATGAATGGAGCTGGGTGGCGAGAAGATGCGTGCAAGGAAAAGGGAAGGAAGTCCCTCTGACTCGAGGGCAGTTGATGCACTCTTTTATCTGTTTCTGGAGGTGGGCTGGGTTTGCATGGGCGTGAAGGAGGAGACAGTTGCTGTCTTCATCAGCTTGGCGTGGTTTACAGATTTTCATCTTCACTTTGCCAAACACTGACCCTACCCAGAAACACACCCTATAATGCAGAAGAAAATTAAAAAAGATACAACCATGTCTACCAAAGGGCAGCACTCTGACTAAGAAGCCATGCAGTTCTGCGGCACAGTAACAGTCCCGCTGTGACAGACGTGGCTTTTTTTCACCTTTCATCCATTGTGGTTGTTTCCCTGCTTACGTTTATCTTTATTTTGATCTTTCACTCCAAAGCCCTATGGCAGGCAAGCGCTGCGGCTCATGCCAAATTGTAGCACAGCTTACACAATTCCCAAAACACACCTATGTTACACCCTTAGCCTTCTTTTTACGTGGAAAATTGCCTTTGGCTTCGACAAGTAGTTTCTCAATACAGAGCCAGGGCTCAGCAAATTGCATTTTGATGAGGCTTTGCATCTTTTTGATAAATAAAACCCTGCTGGACAGGAGATGCCATGGCAATGGCTGGAGCTGGAAATTTGCCTGCTGTTGGGCCAAGCTCTCACTGAACATGAGTGTTGCAGTCTTCGTGCCAAGACAGCCTCTGCATCCGTGGAGAAATGCCAATGGGAAATCCCCTTAGGGCTCTCCAAAGGTTTCAGGAAGTGACTGACCATGAGAAGAGCCAGGGAAAACCTCAGCAAGTCAGCTGCTGCCACGGGAAGTGCGGACAGACAGGCGGACAGCCCTGAGAACAGGCGGAGAGAAGGAGGCATGCAAAACGAGCTGCCCACATAATGCATGCTGCAACTGCTTACATGCAATTAGTGAGGCAGAGGATGCTAAACAGCTCACCTTGTTTGTAGAGACATAAAATGGATGAACAGAGCGCACAATAACTTTCACTGGAGGAAATGCATGCTTTTCAACTACCTGGCTTACTTTGGCATTTATATGCAAGTATATTTTTCACAGACATGTAGAGCTGTGAGCTGTGTTGAGCCCTCTGTTATGAACGTGGGTAGGCGTCTTTTTTTACCTTATTTAAAGCAGGGTTTTAGAAAGGTGGAACTTTATAAAAAACTCTCCATTTTTGATGTTGTTGCTGAGATGGAATAAGTTTACAAGACACACCTACAGAAATACGACTGTGCAAGCAGCATGCATTGGGGAGTTGGACCAGATGACCTTTAAGGGTCCTTTCCAACTCAAACAACTCTGTGATTCTATGATTCTGCAACATTTCATTGTGGAAACCTGGTTACCAAACACTTCCTTTTTCTAAAATTTTTACTGAGAAATTCTCTTTCCCTCTTTCCCCCTTCTCCACAATCCCCAGCAGCAGAGGAATCGGTGTGGCCATTTCAAATCCACTGAGGCCATTCTAAAGCCCCAGGGTCATTGTGGTTATTTGGGCATCTAACTGTGCTTTCTAACGAGACTCTCCGAAGTTCCCATGCGACACAGGCAATTAAGCGCTTCTTGAAAATCCACACCAGCAACTCCTGATATCTCCAGTTGTTTGAATAGCTCCAGAAATATCACCCAGACACCTATTTCCAAAAGCACCTGGGGCACCCAGGCTGTGCTCGACGTGCGGTTAGACCGGCACCGCCACCAAACCCTGACTGACCCTATGGGTGTGCTCATCCCACCCCGGCACACGCGGCACGGCTCGGGGAGGGCATCCAGCTCCCAGCTCCACCATAGGGCGGGGAGGATGGGGCTCGGTGCTTGTTCCCAGCAATGTGCGTGGGTCAGAGCCACGTGGCATGGGGACACCACGGACAGTTGACTGCTTGGGCTTTGTCTCTGAGTTTTGAGGGTTCAAAGCAGCACCTTCACCTCAAGGATTGGATGTCACTGGGAGCCCAGCGTGTGCTGCAGCGGAGAAGGGAGTTGTTGTCAGGCCACTGCCCAGAGGAGTGGTGGGATCACCTTCCAAAGAGGTGCTTAAGAACTGTGGAGATGTGGCACTGAGGAACATGTTAGTGGGCATGGTGGGATGGGTTAGGGTAGGACTGGATGACCCAGAGAGAATTATTGCTGATAGATGGGCAATTGGACTGGGTAATCCTGTAGGTCTTTTCCAGCCTTGGTGATTCTATGATTCTATGACCTTAGAGGTCTTGTCCAAC